TTTGGATATACTTTTTACATGTCCACTGGTACCGTTAACAGCCCAAAGGCTATCTTTAGCATTTTTCCTTATTTAAATTATTCAAATGTATTCCATGTCCAAGAGATATGCTGGAAGACTCATAGGAATGATGGAAACAACCAGTAGAACACTGCATGTTTTACAAAACAAAGTTGCATCTCTCTCTCTCTCCCTCTCTTTGTGGGGGGGTTTGAAGTCTTCTATGGAGTCCACTCTAATTTTTTTGTGATTTGTATGCTTTGTAGGAAAATCCCTCACTATATACTGTTGAAATGGCAAGGGTGGAATCAGTGAGTTTCACCCCTCGGGCAGTCCACTGGTCGCGTCAATAACTGTCGCATCAGTTGATCTTCTAGGCATAAAAATTCGAGATTAAATATATATTAAATAATTTATAATAATTTGGATCGACATAATTTTTATTGATATGATAAATATTTATTAGATAATTTTTATGTTTCACTTGAATTTTTAAATAATATGATTTAATAATAGAAAATGCTTGGACCCCAAATAATGTACCAAATCTCTCACATGGGTGTAGGATTCACATAAACTCACATGTGTGTGGGTCCCACACCCATCTGAGAGATTTGGTAAAACATTTAGTAAATTATTTAGAATCTCTAGCATTGCACTTTAATAATCGATTATTTGTAGTTGGTTTAATAATTTAAAATTGATGGTCTAAAACATTTTTCATATATTTTTTGTTAGTTAAATTTTTAATTCAAATATGATGCGCAAAAATATTAGGCACACTAATAAAATTGCTACTTTTTTCATTCTAAAATATTAGTCGTTTATTATAGTTTTTATTTTGTCCAAAATATTAGTTTCTTTTCAAAAATCAAATACAAAAATAATATAAATTTTTTGTTTTGCCCTTCTTTTTAGATTCATTAACAACATAAAAAGTAAATGGAGTTTTGAAAAGAGTTTTGAATTATGTGTTTGGTTATGAGTTTTGAAAAGTAATGATTATGTTTTGAATTGAGTTTTGAGAAATGAGTGTAGAATTATGATTTGAAAACCCTAAACAAATACCATACTCAAAAATGAGTGTGGAACTAGATTTTAAAAACTCCACCAAACGGAGCCTTAGTATCCCTATCATTGTTCTATTGTGTGTTTTGTTTGATTTTGATGGTAATTTTTAATTTTCTAAAAATTTTATTGCAAATTAAAATTTTATATAGTATATGGTGAAAATAGTTTAGAATTTTTGAAATTTTGAATGATTGTAATTAGTAGATGTTAGAAAAAAAAGTAATTAATTAATGAATTAATATAACAGATAAATCATTGTTATTTGATAACAGGTTTGACAAAATTAATTTAAAATTTAAACTAAACAAACACTTTTTCTACTAATACTGATATTATTTTGTCGGAGATTATTTTAGGATAACATTATCTTACCAGTAAGATAATGACCCACACCTCCACAGGTCCACTGGTCATGTCAATTTATTGTTGCGTTAGCACACCTAGCTTATCGGGAAGATATTATTCTTGGAAGACCACACCCATCGGCACAAAAATTCAAAATTCGAGATGAAATATTTATTAGATAATTTTTAATTTGGATCGGCATAATTTTTAACGATTCGATAAATATTTATTAGATTATTTTTATGTTTCAATTGAATTTTTAAACAAAAATGATACATCTTTTTAATTTGAAAATTATAAAAGAGCACTAATGATGTAGAAATTTTTTTTAAAAAAATTTAAGGCCAAAACACCATATCACATGGGACCCACACACCAATTAAAACTATTTAAACTTTCAATTTAGAGCTCTCAATCTTTTTTTATTTTTAAATAATATGATTTATAACCCATTTGTAGTTGGTTTAATAATTCAAAATCGATAATCTAAAACATTTTTTCGTATATTTTTTGTCAGATAAATTTTTAATTAATAATTCAAAATTTTTGTCAAAAAATTGAAACTAAACACACTGATTACCTCTTTATTTTTTCTATGTATCTTTTACGCAATTGAATTTATTTATTTTTTCTATATATCTTTTACACAATTGAATTTATTATTAGTATTATTTTAAAAGGAATATAATAATAATAATAATAATAATAATAATAATAATAATAATAATAATAATAATAATGGACTACAAATGCTATAAATAGGCATTATGCGGACTACAAATGCTATAAATAGGCATTATGCAAAGTTATTGAGGTGGATGTTTTTGGTGTCAACGGCGAAGATAATAATGGGCTAAAGTTGTTATAAATAGACATTGTTTAGTATTTTGTAATTTTTATTTTGATAGTGAAATGGAACAGTTGGTCCGAATTTGAAAATTTTATTTTGATAACGGAATGGAGCAGTTGGTCCGAATTTGTAAATTTTTATTTTGATAGTGGAACGAAGCAATCAGTCTGAATTATTTGTGTATAATTTTGTGTTTTGCACATATATAATTTCCAATGTTTAAATTTGTTTAATAAGATTATTATAATAATTAATATTAAAAAGACAAAAATAAGAGATAAATTACAAAATTGACTGTAAAATAACAATATATATCACTAATTTGATACAAAATGATATTTTTACACATCATTTAAATGAACTTGTCATTGATTTTTTTTTTTTAAGTTCATCAAAATTATCATTGATTTTTTTTTTTTTTTAAGTTCATCAAAATTAATTGAAATATCATCTTTTACAAAATAAGGCTTTCATACATATAATTAATGAACTTTTACAAACTGTTTTTATTTTAACAGTCAGTACAAAGTTCATTAATCTTAACTGAAAAGCAAGCCTTTCAAAATAAAAATAAACAAGTCAAGGATTAAATTAAATTCTCCGCCTTCAATAAACTAAAACAAGTCAAGGATTATTTAATGTATATTATCTTACCGGTAAGAGATGTTTTATTATATATTACTGGTAAGGGAATTTTGATTTTCAGTTCTTCTCATCTTACTATTGTACTCAGTCCAAATCTCTCGCTTGCCCATATCTCTCTCGCTCGCACCTCTTCCCACTAAAATTAGTCCATCTTCCAAAGAAATCTCTCTTGCTCACACTTCTGCTCTCTTTCTCGCTCACACTGCTGCTCTCTTAGCTCGAGTACCCTCGCTCTTACTCTCTTTTCTTCCTTTCCTCAATTTCTTATTATGTGTAGTGGTATCTGTTGTGTAGGAGTGAAATGTTTCTATGCGGTGTTTGAGGATGGGACCCACATTGTAGTTATGGATAGTCAACTGATTTTTTTTTCTCTCAATTATTTTATTTATTTATTTATTATGATATATCAATTATTATAAACCAATTTTGTTTTAAGTGTATAAAACTATAACCTAAGGCTAATCATTCTTTTCATTAGAATTATTATTATTATCTCTATTAAAATCTGATTTTGTTGGTTGTTTAAGTACATGCTTGATGGTAGTAAATGCTTGCATGTTATCTGTTTGATTTATTGCTTCAAAGAACTAATTTTTTTATGTAGAAAATAAATAGATAAATAAATTTTGATTCAGACAAAAAAGTTGACAAGAATTGGAGGTAATACAAATAAGTTTATAAACATATAAAACAATAATTTGGACCAACATAATTTTTAGGGATAAAAAATAAATACGAATTGCCCCCTATGGTTTAGGAAATTACAAATATTTCTGTGTCAGAAATTTTCATTTAACAGAATTAATTGAAAAAAGTAAAATTTCTAACTGTTCATCTATACAATAATAAAATTATCTAAATTATTAATTGAAATAAAATTTTAATATTGTTAAAAACTGTTAATTAGCTTGATAATTTATTAATAAGAGAACTATCTTTTATGAAATTAAAAATCTTAAAAGATATAATATAATATTTAGAATTATATGAGATAATTTATAATTTAAGTAAAACACAGCTGTGCTTATAATTTATCCTATTTGTGTTTGAAATAATAAAATGTGAGGGAGCAGAACGTGTAGGGCAGTTGAGATTTAATAATTTTTTTTTTTAAATATATAATTTACAAGTGAGAAAAGCTTTAAGAGCTTCACTTAACAGGTTCTGTTGCAAGATTTTACTTTGATTTCCTATTTCTTTTCTTGACTGACTGAAAAATACCCAATTGTGTCTTTACACAAATATGGTGAGGTTCAAGAAAAACCCATATATTACATCAAATTGTATATAGTTCTCTTTAATCTGCATGGCCTATTACGCAATTTGATGAAGTTACACAAAAACCCATTAAAAATTCACAGCAAGAACCTGACACACAACCTTCAAAGTCTTCAAAAAGTTTCAAAACAACAAATCCACAAAAGAACAGAACCACAATAACTGATGCCATTAACAAAACTCAGAGAAAAATGCACAAAACCCAATACCATAAAAACTAAAATTGAATCAAATAATTCAAAGAAAATGCAAAGAACTCGCCAAATGTCCACAATTCAAAGTGGTGGGAAAAAGGAATGAATGCCTTGGAAGAAGGCTCAAAGATAGACCCAAAAATTCCAAAAGATGATGAAGCAGAGGAATCCTTGGAACTGAAAAGATCAGAAGTGAATGAGGAAGATGAAGGAGAACCCATTTGCTTATTCGCGTCCATATTTCTCTATCTTCATCTCTCTCTCTCTCTAAAACTCTGTTTGTATACCCACAAATGAGAGTAATGGAAGAGAGAGAGTCAAATATGTAGAACAACCACCATCAAAGAACACCTAGAAGGAACGAAAGAGTCGACAAATTTTGCTAAGAAACAAACAAAAAGTGCAGACGAAAACAAATAAAGAAGAAACGGAGAGAGAGATCGCTGATGTGTTTGTGTTTTTGTGTGTGAGAGAGAGACGGAAATCAAAACCATTTCTCACCAATTGAGTGTTGGGTAGTTGATTAAGGAAGAAAGTGAAAAACGTGGGATCTATTTTTTTTTTTTCCAAATTACTTAAATTCCACGTGGTAGCATATGGTAGAGGCTTCAATAGACCAAATTCAAGCCTCACTTCTAAGCCAGGCTTCGTGACACCAAAGTAGATGCCTTGAAAGCTCACAGGGTGGTTAATGCGAATTTGGAAACATCCAGGGACGATGGGTCTCTATGCACGTTCACCATTTGAAGATTCGTTCAACAAGAAAAGAAGACTCTCTCGCGAGCGAACACTAGGGTTTCGAAAACAGTGAGCAATGTTTCTGCCTCCAAGTCGTAATGTACATAGATCGAGCTCTCTATCTGAAAGGTTAAGCTCCTCAGATTTCTGAATCAGAGAGACAAAGACGAAGAGGCTGCAATCTCAAGCAATGTACAGTGTATCGATTGATGGCCAAGACCACGAAGCATCGCGTCCGAGGAAGATTCCACCATCGTCGTCCCTGTTATGGGCCCGAAACCTTCGCCATTACATCGGATCCGGTTCTGGTCTCGGTTCTAAAGCATTAATGGGTCTGTATTTTATCTAATTCCTTGACAATTATGTGTTTTGGTTGATCAATTGCGAAACTCAAAAAACCAATTGGCAGTTATGACATGATTGAATTTGAATAGACTATGTAATTTCACAAATTTGGCTATCTTAACAGTGTTTAAATTTGTGTCTTTTATCTGAATTTAGTTGTCTATACAAAAACAATTTTGCTGTTGTTGTTGTTGTGATTTTGTCAGTATAATCAATGCCGTGGTGGAATTGGAACCAGCTTAAGGTGGTTTCCAACTCAAAATTCAAGGCTCGGATTCCTTGCTGCCAGTCTTTTACACTATGTTTGGATTTTTAGGGGAGAAAAGAAAAGAAATAATTGTGATTTCTCTCCCTCTTGTTTGGTTAAGTTGGAAAGACTCCAAATTGTTTGGATAGACTATATAAAAGAAAAGAAAAGAAAATCTTACAGTTTATATTACCAAAATAACCGTTTATGTTTTTATTTCTTTTGTTGGTAGATGGACAATTAATTAGTAATGTTCTTATTTATTTTCTCTCCCAATCTCTCCAATTTGGAGAGATTCAAAAAGTGAGTTATGAAAGAAATCAATAGTTCCATTTCTCCTCATTTATCTCCTGTTCAGTAATCCAAACAAGTGATTAGGACCCAGAGAATTTGATTTCATTTCTTTTCTCTCCAAATCACTCAATCCAAACTAGGTGTTAATGATTTGGGGAGGTTGAGGCTTAAAATTCTGTTCCGGAGTTTGTGGGTCATCCACGATAGGGGGGTTATTCATGTGGGTATGGATTATACATTTTTAGGATTTATTTTTTTGGTCAAGCTTGATGGTAATGTTAATGTTAATTCATGTGGGTATGGATTAAAGATTGCATGTTGACAACATATTTATGTTAGTTAGTTATCTCAAAATGGGATTTCTTTATCTGTTGTTATTGGCGGCTTGTATATGGCATTTTGTGCATGAATTACATGGCAGATGTAAACATGGCCATGATTACCACGTGCATGTTTCTCTAGTAGTATAACTGTATACATTGTGCTTTGATTTATAGAACTTGAGACAGAGAATATTGCTTAATATTTTCAAAGAGAAGCAGCAAAAGAGTGCTGAAGCTGGCACAATTCCAAGCTTCTATAAGAAGGTAAGCATTGTTATTGTTGCTTAGGTGTTTGAGTTAATATAGGCCAGGTGATTTTGTCACTTTCTTTCTTGCTCTTTTTGCAGACAAAATTTGTCCATTTGTTTTGGTATCTACTTGGATAGAACTTGAGTGCAAATGCTGAAGGGAGAAGGTTCCTTATTTTCATATAGTTTTGTTCGTTTCGTTAATATGATAATGTTTTTTACCATTTTCCTTTTTTTTTTTCATATTTTGTACTTACTTTAGCCTCTTTTTTTTGTTTGTTTTCTGTTTCCCCTTTGTTCAGAAACCAGAAGAAGGCTCCATCAGTCACAGGGTCCAGAGGGTGGCTAAATATCGTTTTCTAAAGGTATCACTTACACTTTTCCTCGTTTGTTGACTGTTGTTAGTCATCATCACTTAATCAATTCATCTTTGGCAGATTGAAACAAGCATATATCTCTGTCTTTTGGTGTGATATTGGAACTCCATATTGCCATTTTTGTTTTTTTTTTTAGATTGAATCTTACAAAGTTTATTGGGTTGTGCAAGATTTCAATATGATTTCATTTGTAGTGACTAATTATTTGGTTTAGTATTAGGATGTGGATTGGCAATAATTCATCATTTCGTACATGCAGAAGCAATCTGATCTTTTACTAAATGCTGATGATCTGGATGCCATGTGGGTTTGCTTCAAAGAAAATTGTGTGATTGATGATGCCACTGGTGCTGAAAAGGTCTGTACACCTTATCGTTTTTATATAATTTTTCTTTCATGTTGCTAAGAATCTAATATATATGTTCAACTTCTTTGCAAAATGTCTACACTAGCAGTGGTAGTTGACTTATTTTCTTCTTTAGATTCTTCTGGATTTCTGACATGTCCTGATAATTTTAAGTACAATACTTTGTTGTGCAAACATTTTACCAATTCTCCGTATAGTACAATACTTTGTTTTCTTTCTCTCTCATGCCAGTTTTTGTATCTTGATTTTTCATTGTTTTTCTCTTTCTTCTGTCCATTTATTTTCTATTCAAACCTGACCGAAAGAAATGTTGTCTTTCTTTCACATTATTGAATTAGCGGACATTCACTGAGTGTGGATTAGACTGCTATAGCCACATCTGGTGCATTTGTTTTCTTAGATTTCTTGCTAACTGCTTGTTTAAGCTTACTAATTTTGAAGTTAATAATTTGGCATGTTTGATCTAATGTACAGATATTTGATGCTGTGGTACAACTCTTCTTCTTCTTTTATTATTATTATTATTATTTTTAACAATTCTGATTATATCCCTCGTACAGTTACAGCCTTATAACTACTCTTTTGTTTGTTTTTCTGTTTTTTTTTTTTTCTCTAATGATGCTAAAACACGTCTTGTTTCTCATATTGTTAGATGAATTATGAGGACTTTTGCCACATTGCCTCTGTGTGTACAGAACAAATAGGCCCTAAATGTCGACGCTTTTTCAGTCCGTCAAACTTCATGAAGTTCGAGAAAGATGAGTCAGGAAGAATTGTCATCCTGCCATTTTACCTTTATGTCATGCATACGGTGGGTCTTGGTTTTCTATGCATAACAATGTCTTGTTTTCTATATGTGTCTGACATGTGTAATTAGATATTCACCTATAAAGTGTATTAAGTAATTTGAGTTAATAAGGCTCGTTGATACCAAGGTGCCTAATTATTGCAAAAAATTATTATAGTAACTTTTTCTTTGATAAGTAACAACAGTAAAATGAGTAACACAAGTATATAGGAAAATAGAAACTTAACCACCACAACCACCAATAACATAAGCTTCATATGCAAAAGAAAGGATTCAGAACAATAGATAAACAAACAGCGACTGATGTGAACTTCAACATAAAGGCAACAGGCAACATAGCATACGGACTTTATCGTTTTACATGTAGTTGGTGACATTAATAACTGTCATTAAGCCACTTTGTTCTAAATTGATTCCCAATGGTGTGTGTTTTGCTCTGAAACCTGATTGATTTTAGGATTTGATTGTGTGTTTATTCGAGGAAGAAAAATTAAAAATGAATAAGAGAGCATGATCCTTCTTGTAACAAAATATCTCTGATAAATTACAACATTAATAATGCAACTCCACAGTTGTTTTATCACTGTGGTTTGATCACGTGATTGTGCTATTACAGTGAATGCGTAAACATGAGACAAGTTTCATCTGTGGATATTTAATTGTGAACTCTGGCTTGTGTTAGTGTTAGTCTCTTTGTGGATCTCTCTCTCTATCTCTCTCTCATGTAATACTACTTTCGTATTTTGCCAGGTTTCACTTACACAGGCCAGAATTGACATGAGTGAGCTCGATGAGGATTCTGATGGTTTTCTACAACCTCATGTATGGTTCTTTACACATTTCCACCCCTCATTGTCCAAAATTGGATAGTAGCTTCTCTCTCTCTCTCTCTCTCTCTCTCTCTATCTCTCTCAAATGTAATCTTGTTGCATGCTTTTTAATCTTGTATGTAAAAAGAACAATCTATATTTTGATGCATGCAGGAAATGGAGGCGTATATACGAGGCCTTATTCCTAATTTGGCACAACTTCGGGACATGCCTGCAGCCTTTTTTCAAATGTACTGCCGCATAGCTGCACACAAATTTTTCTTCTTTTGTGATCCTCACAGACGAGGTTTGTCATGTTCTAAATCTTATTTATCTTATTCAAAAGAAAGATAATGTAGTAATTCTAGGCTAATAAACCGGAATAAGAGCACATAATGTTTTCAAAACTAGATATCATGGTTAGTAGAGGCCGATCTTTGATCGGGCGGGCGGGGGTGCTCATAGCTGACCTTCCCCAATCGTACCTAAGTTCCCGAGCCGAGACAACTTTGGTGATGACAGGCACGTGGCCTTGGGCCAACGAGTCAGGATTTCCTAAATTCCCCCCAAATAAAATATTTAGGTGGCGACTCAATATCTGGCAAAGCAGTCCATGTTTGGCACTTCTTTCTCAAAAAATCTGTTTTTCAAAACGATTTGCCAAACTTGGACTCTTTGGTGATTTATCAATCTCGCATTGCACATTGTGAGATCAGATTAATAACCGACACAAAGGGAGTTCGAACTGTAGCACGGAGGCCTCATGGGGCGCGTTTACAGCTTCTGGCGACTCTACTGGGGAGTTTTAGAGAACTTGACTTGAACTCATGATATCTTGTTTTGATTACACTTATGTGTTGTTTTGCATTGCATGTGCATTGGTGTGCCTAGGACACCATGTTTGCCATCTGCTATTCCTGAACGGTTTGCCAGAGGTTTGTCTTGTCAAAGCATGACCATAAGGCTGACCGGTTGTGGGCTCTGCCAGTATGGGAACACAAACCTCGGTTTTACCGGGGCACCCTTTTTGACCATTCGACCTAGTGCATATCGAAATCCATAGTGACCATTCCAAACTAGGACAGGTTGCTTACCCAATGATAGGTTGTTTGAAACCGCTGTGTGCGTAGTGAAACCCTAGCTCTTGACAAAATAGGATAGGGAAACCCTACCCCAACATAGGCGTGTTTTGGCTCTCACTTATCTGCTATGTGCTTTAGAGTTGGCCTCTACAGGATTGCACGTATCAGTTTGCAAGTTTGGGCGTCAGGCCTGCGGGCACCAATGTGTTGAGAATTAGTTATCTGTGGGTACCAGATTCAGATATGGGGCAGTAATGTGGAGAATAATGATCAGTGTTTGAGAACAGTGTATTCAGCTCATCAACAGGGTGTTGTCATGCCCAACCGTGTGTTATATTTATTTAAGCTATTATGCTATCCATTTGTCTGGTTGTTTATTTCCTTATTATTGCTTTATTTATCTTTTTACTAGGTAGTTTAGCACGATTGCTTCTGACCCAGCAGATATTCCCCAAGCACTCTGGATCAGAGGCCACCGACTCCATCAATCTGAGGATCTGGTGGACGGACAACCAGTGTACCACTCTCTACCCCCGGTTACTAGACGGAGGGTAGTTAGGCAGAGGATATCAGTTCAGCGGTCAGTTCAGAGAGCTTTGTCTACCCCACCTGAGTACAGTAAGGATCAGGGTTCTGTTTCTCCCACAGAGAGGGAATATATACCGATAATTCAACCAGAGCAGAGCAATATGGCAAGCTTAGAGGAGATGGTGCGCAGCTCCAAGAGAGTATGAAAGCAATGCAACAAGGCGCTGTCCGACAGGTGGAGTTCGCCAAACAACAGGCCACGGTTGTGACTGAACAGGCAGAATTAATCGTGAGGCTACAGCAGCAAGCCGGAGTGTCTACTTCGCATTAAGCTCCTCCCCCACCAAGGGTTCCGATACCCGAGGAGACACCAAATGTCTAGAATATCCAGAATGATACAGACATTCCCACAGGGCCACTTCCGCCCCCGATCCTACCCCAGATCTTACCCCAATTATCCAAAACACCCACCAACCTTCCGGACTCCCCCTTTGAGTTCGAGACAGATCCCACAGCATTGAAATTGAGCAAGCTCGAGAAGCTGTTCAAGAAATCCCAGGGAGTCAAGACCATCCTTGATATCGAGGATGGGTATACTGACGCAGCTGTGACGCTGCCAGATCAATTCAAGATGCCGCAAATTGACCGATTCGATGGATCCGGGGATTCAATGGTACATCTTCGGTTATTCTCAGACATACTAAGGCCTATGGGCCTCACCAGACTGCAGAAACTTTCATTATTTGGCCGGACCCTGTCGGGTGTAGCGGCCATCTGGTACGCCAAATTAGAGGATGATGTCAAAAGAAACTGGGATAAGATGGCTGAGGCCTTCATTGTACAGTACTTGTATAACACGCAAATCGAGATTACGACCCGTGATCTTGAGACGACGAGACAGGAGCCCAAGGAAAGCTTCTCAGAATTCATGACCCGCTGGAGGGCCAAGGCTTCAATGATGACCATTAGGCCAACAGATAAGGATCAAATACGGATGGTTGTGCGCAACCTCCAACCTAAACTGATGCAGAAAATGATCGTACTCCTCTTCCCTATCTTTTTAGATCTGCATGAGATGAGAGTACAGATTGAGGATGCCTTGAAGCAAGGCTTGATTGACGGTGACAGAGAACAGCCCAGAAGAACCTTCAACAACCGCAGTACGAATGCGGGCACAAGCAATGCTGCAGCTGCCAGATCTCAGGAAGTGAGCATGGTCACCACCAACCTCCCTCCAAGAAACATGGCAGCCACGCCATTCTCCGGTGCGTCCGGAAGCAATACACAAACAGCCAAATACTCACCCAAAAACCCAAGAGCCTTCGCCCCATTGTATATGCCCCTGTCCAAAGCCCTGGGGGTCTTGATCAGAAAAAGGCACTTGAAGCCCCTAGAGCCGCGGCCATTGCTGGAAAGACTTCCCCCTACCCACAACCCGGCCAAATATTGCGCATTTCACCAACAGCATGGTCATGACACCGACAGTGCTTCCGATTATGTCATGAGGTTCAAGATCTCATCGATAACGGGGTGATTTTGCCTCCCGAGAAACCTAATGTTACATCAAACTCTCTCCCACCGTACAACCAAGCTCCACCTCCCAAAAGAATCAATTTTATCCAGACTAGGGTCGTATCTTACAATCCTAGCATATATATCACCCCTTCCCACCTACCTAAGCCGGAGGTGTTCCTTCTTGATTGCACTGACTTGTGCATGTTGGGCATCTCCAGAACTTAACTCGAACCAATGGTGGTGACTGTCGAAGACAGAACATGGGAGATTTCAGAGGAGAATGGGATTGTTGAGTCAGAATCTAAGGAATCTGTGAGTTCTGCTGAGAAGGTATACAGTCCGAGTGGGCTTAAACCATGCTTACCAAATGGTTTGGATTTCCCACCCTCAAGTGGGCTTAAAACTCACATTTTGATGAAGTGTTCCAATTCAAGTAATGAAGCATTCATGCAGTTAATCATTTAAGCAAATAGCCTCATGGTAAGCATGCTGTCATGGCAATCACTTACACTCATGCAAGGATGCTAAAGCGTAAACCCTTACAGTGTACTCCGAGCCAAAACAGAAGCTAGTTAGAAATCATGCATGATTCTAGCTATGTTAAGATGCCTAATGCAACACATGCAAAAATGCAACTAAAATAGGCTCGACTATCTAGAATAGCATATGAATGCAACACTTGATAACATGCTTTGAAACACGTATTCAAGAAAATGTATTGAAATACAATGCAGTTTGAATGATGCACCAAGCCCAGTGCATGCAAGACAAATGAATGATGCACGCATACAAAGCATAAGGTATGCTAATTGAAATATGCCCTAAACTAACCATCGAAAGCGGTAAGTAAAAAGGAGAAATAAATAGGGGTTGGAAGACATGCACACACATACGCACCCTTATTACAACATTGTGCCCTCTCGATGGAGGGTCCGAATGAAAGAGAGCTAACTAGCTACGCTAATTAAGCTTCTTATTACAAACCAAACTAATTAACTAAGTATTCTAGCTAATTAATTACAACACAATTGAATAACTAGCTAATCTAAACTAATTAGTTACAACATTTTAATTAATTAACAAATTAACTAATCATGGCAACTAACTAAGCATGTAAGGTATGTAAACTAGGCTGCCTCAGCTCTACCTTAAACAATGAAGGATGCATGCTCTCGGTTGCTGCCTCGAAATGCCTTCCGGTTTGCTCTTGAGAGGCTCTATTTGCAGCGTGTCTTTATAAAATTTCTGCTCCACCTTACCAAACCAACTCTGGGGAATCCACCAGTGGCCTGCCAGCCATGAGAAGCTTCTGTCAACCACCTGTCGGCCAATGATGTGCACTGCCGGCCAATGATAAAGCAGTGCCGGTCATTTGCAAGGCACTGTTGGCCATTGGTGTGCTGCACCACCATTTTGCAATAGAGCACAAACTAGAGGAAAATAGAGGGTCTCCCAAGGGTATGTACGTAATATGCCACTCCATATCACCTCAAAACATCAAGGGAGAGGCATCATTGGATCCATGACCATCAATCAAGCATCTCAATGCATGATGGCCAAAGATCCAACTTTTATTAGGAGGTGGTATGTAAATCGGGTCCTAATCCGAAACCAACTATGAATGAGAATTTAGAGTCTTGCGTGCGAGTTAGGATGATTACATATAACTTCGATGGCTACAATAGGCAATTTTGAGTCCAAGTACATGTCTAAATGTCAAATTTATTAATTCTCATGTCAATCACACCAAGACACAATTAGATTTTATATTTCGAAAATACTTATTTTATTTGTAAGAATAAAACGATGTTTACATACTAAACTGAACTACTTATACAAACTTGTTGGGCATGTAGGATACGTATCTCAAACTCTTACCACGGGTCAAATGCCCGAAACGGGTACTTCACAACTTTACAAGAGTCCATATAACATAGTTTAGAACAACAGTATAAACAGCTGTAATAAAGATCAATATCATTTGGCAGCCATACCTGTGGTTGGAGTGCCCTTGCCCTTTCTCCCGCAAGTACTCCTCTAGTCGAATGCAACTCCTAAAAAGAAAAGGGGGAGGACAAGCAAACCCGATGATATATTCAAACTTACAAATCACAAATTTGAATCCACATGAGAAGATGATGTAATTACAGTACCTTCTTTGTATCATCCAACACTGCCTTGAGGAAAGCCACATCATGCTCAAGCCTTACATTGTCAGAGTGGACAATA